TATGGGATATATTTAGAGTTGATGCAAAATTCTGAAGAGTAAATGTACTTACTGCCGGATATATTCGTCTGTCCATGAACTGTTGCACTGAGGAACTTTACGTAGTGCCAATGCAGCAGCCTGGAATTCGCAGAAACAAAAGAATTTTACAATTCAGGTAGACAGAAGAGACTTTGCCGAGTCAATTCAAGGAGATTTCAAGGTTCGATTGTCCACAAAAATAAGTAAATGAACCTTAATAACAAGATCGTTGACAGATATCCGTTTCCCGCCAGATGCCTCTTGCAACGAATTGAGTTGGCTCCTCAGACTGCAGTGCAGATACAAATAGCTAAGCTTTAGCATCCATTGACCATATCAATATATAGAATCTGACACAAATACTTACTCCATCAGTTTGTCTACACATGTATCCACAGTCAAGTAGTAGTGAGGAATAGTTTGCTTTGAAAACGACAAGCGTGAGGCAGTGACCTGCCAAAATTATGCAATAAACAAATTGGCTAACCCTTGGTGAGATAAATGTAACACAGAGAAAAATAACATGTTTTGAGTTCAGAAATTCCAAGAGCACTCAACAACCAAGGTAATCACGGTTTTACCTTTCGAATCTGAGAGTGAGGAATGTCAACATAGTCCAAAGATGGAACCTGTGTGCCCACACCCTTGGATGGCTTGGCAACGTCTTTACCACTTGATGCTGCATTAGGGCACATGCATGGGTTAAAAACTACAAAAATAGATATGAACAACAAAAATGAAAAGGATGAGAGGGAGAGGCAAAGAATTCCGATACCTAAGTAATCTTCGATGTCAGCCTTCACAATCCGTCCTTCAGGACCTGTTCCTTTGATTTTTGAGAGAGGTACCTAGTGGTTTAAAGAAGAGCAAAAAAGAGTTAAGCACCGAAAGATGAAAAATAAGAGACTTTGATAGTATTTTTCACCACTAACATTATTGTCTTCAGCCATCTTTCTAGCAAGAGGACTAGCAAACGTTCGATCTTCTGAAGGAGATTGGCTGGGCTTGGAAATCTTGGGTTCAGAAACGCTGGCTGGCTGCACCATCTTCTCTTCCTTTGGTGGGGCAGAAGTTGGAGCTGGTTCTGCTTTAGGAGTTGCGGAACCAGCATCAGATGATGGAGTGTAATCTTTGAACTTTCCAAGGTCCTCTTCATCTTCAACTGTGATAGCAATTACCTATTTAAAGCCAAAACCAACACGCACTAAGCAGGATTCACGACATCAATATGAAACTCTCAAACGCTATAAAAATTCTATTTTATGTTAATTCAATGATTTCAATAACATCCAAGAAAGAAGACAATATCATGCAAGTCCGAAAGGACTAAAAGTTCGTACCTCCCCAACTTGAATTTCTTTTGACCCATCCCCCTTTACTATCTTGGCGAGATAG